AACACGATTCAGAGAGCGGTTTCGGGCCAGTTTTCCGTTGGCACCCTACCAGTGACCGCTAGATACGGCTGCATTATGTGCTCATTTACCAGCCCTCTCATACCAATCCCTTCGCCTCATATTGTACCTCACACATGGAGCGATACGAGCAGGTCGGACATTTGTGGGCGGGCGGGCGCGGTGGGCGTCCGGGTCGGTATGTTGCAGCTTGATAGGGCGCTATAGGTGTACCTTCCTTGGAAAAAGGCGGCCTGCTCAACGGCGCCGAATATCGTCCTGCTAAGCGCATTAATCTACACCTCCTGGAAATTTGTCGTCCCACGTGCCTTCAAGTGTCCTGTTCACAGCGAGATGTCACTGTCTCAGTAAAGTCATCGCAAGCGCGCCGTATTCGCATTTGTCGCGCGCGAACGTCGCGGGGTCCTACCGCCACACACCCGATGGAGAATGTTCTTGAAATGGCTCAATTTCAGGAGGCTACAGCAGACGATGAAGGCGAATTTGATGATCATGACCATGATGTCGAGGAATAAATCCGTCCGCTCGTTTCTGATACAGTAACCATCAACGATCTGTAGCATGCATTTGTACAAGTGATCGATATCACTTGCAATATGATCTGTTCCATATATCTCAGTGAATCCAATGAAGTGCAATAAATTGTGGTTTTATCGGCGGGAAATCATTGACAAAATGAGTGAAATACAAACATTTAGTGTTCTCATCAAAAGGATAAACAAATGAATTTCGCTGTTGAAACTTCATATGACACTGGGATAACTCTAGAGAAACTAAATGGAGCGCCATTGAGACAAGAGGAGAAGATTCGATAAGAACTGGAACATGTAAAGATGAAAAAGGAGAACTGGGAAAAGGAAAAGCTGAAAGACAACCCTATACTAGCACATCTTAGAAATTACATCGCCGAAATTTACTAATGATATTGAAATAGGAATCATTAAAGAGAAGAACACACAAATGTCGATACTCTACAGATAATATAGGTGTAACAAAAAGACACGTTAAACGTACAGAAAAAGTGAGTTACTGTATGAGTAGCAGTACAACGAAGTGCCGTTTCACAAGTCAAACGGGGCTAAATTGCGTTCCGTATCAGTCTCACCCGCATTTAGAAGATTATCACAGAAATAGCTCAATACAGTCATGATCCGTGCAGATTGGGCGTGTGACGCGGAACGTACCGCCAAGGCGCCCTTTTCCACCAGTGATGCCATCCTGAGCGCGATACAGCTGATGGAAAACCTGAAGCTGCGTTCACACTTTGCGACAGCGTCCACCAGCGTCTACTAACGTCCACTAGCGAACCCTAGCGTTCCGAGCGTCTGACAGCAAAAGCATCTAGGAAGGTGTAGATATCGATCCAGAGCCAGTGTCCACCAGCAACCTACAGGGTCTCGAGGGCTAGAGGTATAGGTATCGATCTAGCGTCTGCAGCGTCTACCAGCGTCCACCAGCGTTTACCAGCGACCGGATTCAGAGATTATGGGGAAGTAGGAGCGTAGCAAAGAGCTGATTAGGCGTTGTGAAATTGTGGTGCCTACAACCGGGCCGCACAACCGCTAAAGCACAAAATTATGTGATATAATGTACTTTGTTGCGTGGTAGTACACTGCGGGAGCACACGCTGCAATTTCACGACGCCTAATCCAGCTGTTTGCTACCCTCCTACTTCCCCATACTCTCTACTCCCGTCGCTGGTGAACGCTGGTAGACGCTGGTAGACGCTAGATCGATACTCATACTTTCCTAGTCGCTACGTGTCGGGCGCTCGGAATACTTGTTGCCGCTGGTGGACGCTGCCCAGAAGTACGAACGCAGCCTAATCTGGCTGTGTTCCAAGCATGCTCCCGTCACACGCCCTATCGTTTGCACGGATCGTGACTGTAGTAGGTTCAATTTATGTGATAGATCTCTTGTTACGGAGTCAGCGAGTGATGTCGCCCTCCATAATATTGAGGTGCTTACAAGGGTTCATTTTTGTCACTCGTAATAAGCGTACAGAAGACGATGATCTTAACGACAACCACAACGCTGACGACGCTACGATGTGGGGTGAGACCAAATTGGCGTCGCACGTTTTCGTGCTTAAATCGCCTTCTACAACATCGGCAACGTATCGTTTGGCTAAGCAAGTGCGCGACGATTCCGCGATGATATCGCTGCCAGATCGGGAAACAGCTGCGAAACGGCTTCGTCGATGTGTGCACAAAAGCCTCGTAATGAAAAATCGCGATCGAAACGTACACGCTGAAATTTTCATTGTAGTTAATTAACTCATGGTAATCTACCCCGAAAATGATCACCGCTCTCGCATGATCTACTTATTACCGTCGAAACAATTAGCCGCTGTCTTCCAAACCGTTGCCTGGTTGTTAATTAGCAATTAGAGTTCTCACTAAAGTATTGCCTATGGGCGCCATTAACCTCGGAAAGTAATTCAAGGGATGGCTCGGGATAAGCTAGAGTTACCGTAATGGTGATGAGGAATTCTAATGTCTCTAACAAGGGAGGTCTTTCAGGTCGTGGCGCGCTTTTTGGAAATGGTTTGTTGCTTGTTGTAGGGGTCCATACAAGGATCACAAAAATGGGTTTCATTTTTGCTATGCGTTTCTGGGTAGGTCAAAAACTGAGTGAAAAGAATTTGACAAGAATGGGCGGTTTTAACAATCTTAATGGGCTCCGTTCTGATTGTAACTTCGAGCATGCATAGTTTATGAGGTGCTCGTTAATTAGGCTTTGAAAATAGTTTTAAATAAAGTCAAAATGTAAGTATCATGTAGTAACACACTTGGCATGAGAGGTGTTTTTTGTCAGAGGTTCCTTCATGCTCACTGTCGGCGGATCGGATGGCGCAGCAGGATAACTCGATGGATTCTGGATGGACGATACGGGACTTTGTGGATCGAATCCTCCTTGCGGCAAATTTTTTCAACGAGCACCTCACAAGCTACGCATGCTCGAAGTTACAATCAGAATGGAGGAAGCCCGAGCATCGAGTTGTTCAAAAACCCCCATTCTTGTCAAACTTTTCACTCAGTTTTTGACCTCCCCAGAAACGCATAGCAAAAATGAAACCCATTTTGTGATCCTTGTATGGACCCCTACAACAAGCAACAAACCATTTCCAAAAAGCGCGCCACGACCTGAAAGACCTCCCTTGTAAGGGCAAAGGAGCTCCGAGGGGGGTAGAGCAAATTCACGTACTGTAATGGGGCTTAAAACGGTTGCCTAAGCCTTACAGGGCAGAGGAGCTAAAGGGTGCGTAAGCCAATTCCAGATACTGTAATTATTGTCGGATAACTCTAATCCTCAGTTTTGCACGGGGAGTCCTCCACACGCCTCATAAAAAATTATCAGCGCCTGCATAGGAAATCGCGGCTGATGTTATCCCTTCACTGGCCCCCTTCTTCGGTTTCAGGCCAATTTTTCAAACGAAATTATTCCCTTAGCGGTAGATAGGGGCAAAACTTGATCCCGGCAGTATTTCGGTCCCTTGAGCTCCAACCGGCAGCGTGTGTTGCGCCGTAGGCGCCGGCGCCCATAAGCCACACGTTTTCCCTCCAGACAAAAGTGACAATCTATCTCAGAGGGTGAGACTTCCCCCGTGAGAAAGCTCCAGGGAAGCCAGGAAGCGAGATCGACGCTAATTCTGCTCTCACCTGTAGCCAGGTGCTTGCTGCCTTGGCGGAAACTGAGTGGTTACGTGTGAACTAGGCAATCAATTTCACGCGTTGTTCAAGATACGGTAGCCCGCCTGTTTTTTTAACCTTACAGTTTAGTGTCAGGCGACACCCCCTGGACAGCTAGGGGGAGAAAAAACTCCACTCAACTCCCCCCACATCGGAAAAAAGTTCGAATAAATTCTGGTCTTAATTCTGAGGAGTGGACACTAATGAGTGATTAGTGCCATTATTTTTAGAAAATGGCCGCTGTAAGATCATGTTGCCATAGCATGACTGAAATCCACCTATCGTATCGTATCCAGAACCCGTCGTCCGACTCACTCAGGCATGTCGTACCGGTGTTCCTGAGTAAGATGACGGCAGAGTTAAAGTTTGGTAAAATGTGCATCTAACCCATTCTCAAGTTAAACAGCGAAAGCGAAAAGAGGTCCCTTTCACACGCAAACCTAATCTGAACCCATCTTGATGATATGTGGCAGCTCTTCGATCATAACCGATCCAGTAACGACGAGAATAGAGCAAGTTTCAACCATGAGCGTTTAATTCCAATCAGTTTTCTACAGTTTACTTGTTTCTCGTAAGTCTCGTCGCAGTCGAGCGCTGGCCAGTCCTGTTTCTTGATGTGATGCATCATTGCCTCGGCAAGCAGTTCCCCCGTCGGCTTCATTATCTAAAAAGATCGACGGGATAAACTAAATTTACATCCTATGACCAACCAGCTAGTAAGGGGCTAACCTTGCTGCCCGTGACGTCTTCTATCACCGTTTCGGCTGGTCCGCCACTGTCGCAGACGATGACAGGCCGACGTTGGTCCAATGCCTGAAAAATCATGAATAGCCGGGCCTGTAAGCATTCCCGGCACATTCCGGGTAAAAGGTACCTCGATTGGTACAATGCCGAAATGCTCGTTGGGAGGTGTATAGAGTGCTGAATCGCACTGCCTGTACAGCTCGAATTTTTGACATTCAGACGGGGACGGGATAAACTGGACCACGTCTTCGACGTCGAGATCCTTAAAAAATGACCTTCATACTTGTACCGCACAAAAGTACTACAACAGCTCAATTACCCTAGCCATCTTCTGTAGTAATTCGTAATATATTCGACTTTCCGGGATGTGTGGCATTACGGAACCAGCCAATTGCACCAGAAATTTGTACCCGCGTTTCTTTAGTAATGCTGAAAATAAATGGTACTTTTTTTGCTCGGAGAATTATCATCGCCAAGGATACTTACAGGCCGCCTCGACGATGATGTCAAGCCGTTTTTCAGGCCAAAATCTGTTCATTGACATGAACACGTACACATCGTTCTGTGGTCGATCACGACGACTCATCGGTTTCTCGGCCTAAATGATTGTGGTATTAAAAAGTAGTGTCAAGTACACATGTACTTGTATTTCGCTGTAATACTACTTTTTAACATCCCTTACCGATATAACAATCGAGTCAACATCGCATGGTGGGTAGACGACCCGAATTTTAGTTTTTTCAATACGTGGCATTACGCGACTAAATTGCGAGGCTGAAACGGGAAAAATCTTCAAACGCACCCAAATTACCAAAAGGTAATTAACTGTAATTCGTCACTAAAGACGACTTATCCACCTGTGAAATGGCTATTGACCATAATGACGTCGGTATGTTGAAAGAGGTGTTCTTCAATGACACCAATCAAATTTGAATACCATCTGAAACCGAAACATTCACACTTAAGTAATAACAATCGGAGAGAATTACTGCTACACTTACCTATACAAAAAGAATCTTGAAGGTGTAACAAGTTGTTGTGGAAAATGGCAATAGAAAAGCACTTTACAACTGGGATAACGCCATTTGATGAGTGGAACACAACTGAAGTGAAGCGAAGGACAAATAAACGGAATGGGCAGATTGAAACATCCTGGTCTCGATTCCTTGACAAGAAGCTCCTTGGCCCAAGCATAAGAAGCTTCTTGCCGAGAAAATTGGGCCATTCCAGACAAAAACCCTGAAAATGACCCTGAAGGTAAAGCCGAACCTTGCTGAATGGTCGATAACCACCAAGTCGGGTTTGATATTGTTGAAGATGAGATACCAGCCAAGGGCTACGTTCTGACTCCACCAATCGCCTGGATGAAGTTTCAGCCTCACTTCGTGGATATCTGAACATTCAATTTCTACAGTAATTTTCAAACAGTATTAGCTATTACAATAAAATCGAGCCCCAACCGACGCCGTCGAATTTGTGATCCTTCCAATACTCATCAATCATTGTGGTGAGCCATGTCACCTGAAATAAGCACCATTCATAACTGGTAGTTTTCTTTAGTAATTCATGCGCTGAACATTTACCTTATACCCTTTAGAAACAAAATGCCTTATGAGAGCTACAGTACACCGATCTGAACCGCCATTCCATTGTTCGGGATGGATAATTACCACGTGCATCTGAATAGTGTACTATTAGTCCTACTAACATGTCAAGCTGGTTATTAGTGCTGTACGAAAAGGATTACGACATTGTTATTATTTCTGCATTATTTTTGCTCTGCCTTTTTTGATTTTCAATTATTTACTGCTCATTATGAAAGATGGTATTACTCTACTCGTGGCATGAAGCCAAGTTGTATGGGCGGACAAGTAGATGACCTGATTGAGGAGAGCGCCTCGAAGTCCGTCGAGAAAGCGCGAATGGAGTGCAGATTGTAATCAGCCTAGCGATACGCAGCGCGAACAATTTGGAACATAGGTAGATTTGAGCGTATGATACTCTACGAAATCTGGTCGCTTGAGCGTTGTCTTTCGTTCAGACACCTTTATCGCAACGTTGAATCAATCCAGGATGAATATGAGGGGGTGCAGGTAGCATTCTTTTGGAAAAATTCTTTAGGGAACAACTGGCGAGATGGCGGCTGATCGCTCATGGGAGCTGACGAAATGTCGCCGTTCTCGTCCTTGTCGCGTCGTCGTAGGGGCTACACGCCACACAAACAAAAGCGGAGAAGCCTGGGACTGTGTGCATGTTAGATCAACAGCCAATGCAATGGAAGAAGCCGCCAAAAGGCGATTGAAGTGAAAAAGGTGGGACTGGAAGCATATTCCACGCTGGTCATTTGGGTGGAGTCACTAACGTCTGCCATTGCATCCTTCTCATTTGTGGACATTCCTTCTTCAAAGGAGAAGAAGAAGGATCAGAACCAATGAGGGAAAGACAATGAAAAGGAGTGACTCCGCCTCTATGATCAACGTGGAATATGCCGTCAGGTCAACAAGTTATTCGAATAGTTGCGACGCCATTTAAACGAACGGACGCAAATTGTCGGATAAAGTGAAGAAGAGCAAAGGTCAGTGGGTGAAAGCGGTAACGAACGCGGAAGCAGATGAGAGAAAGTATGTCATAATTGGTCGGGATGCCGATACGTTCCGGTGCGCTCTACGGTCTCGTAGATTTCCGAGAAGATAGTACACAACAGGCCCGCACAAGTGCCGGATATGAGTTTTCAGAACAGGATTAGCACGAAACGAGGACACACAAAGGTGCCTGAACACGTGTTCGGTTTTGAGCAAGAGGAGGAGGAGTCAAAAGGGGGCGGTGACGTGGCCATCGTCCCATCTAAGGACGTCATTGACCACAAAACCGCACATGACCGCAATGACAACGGCAAAATATGCACATAATGGTAATTATTGTCAAGACTAAAGTTGAATAGAGCATGAAACAGTACAGAACTCATTCATTCTAACGAATTGCCCTCGTCGGTAGGGACGTGCACACATAGCACCAAGTCCAGCGAACACTTATATCCAATGTAGCGCCTCATCGGGAATAGATATAAATCATTCGAATATGGACATCGATCGTACAAGGATCTGTCAGGAAAAAGTGACCGATGGGTGAAAAGCAAAAGGATTGAAGCAATGAGAGAAGCAAAGCGGTCCAAAGGTCCGTAATTTTCGTTGCCGAATAGGCTTTGGATAGGACAAACATGAGCGCTGAGCTCGAAGTAACAAAGCAATGTGAAGAGGTCATCGATGAGGTATCAAAGCTTGAAATATCATTTTAAACGTAAGCTGAATATGAATAGCCAGTATAGCAAACCTTAGTGATCAACGCGGATTTCAAAGTCGCGTTTGGTAACAGTTGAATCAAGACGGACGGTGTTCTTGGATTTAATGGAGAGGCCACCGAGCTAAAACAGTAGAAAAGTTGTTTTGATGAGTGGAAAGTTTTGGGAAAAAATTAAGGTGAGGAAAGGGGGTTGTAATGTATGATGGAAGCTAGGTAAATGTGACAAAAGGTGACGCGACATGGGTAAAGGTAGCGTAATGGGAGCCAGAGGTGCGCTACCTGATCGTCGCCGGCAACTGTCGTCTCCTGAATGAGTTCTCTTCTGATGTACCAAACAGCCAGCGACAAAGGCACGGAGAAAAAGAGCGCAGCGGTGTATAGGCAGGAAAGCACCCACGGACGAGGATCGAACATGTGCGAATGCGATGCGCCACCGATAACGTAGGAGGCCAGAACGCCCAGTTGTGGGCGGGAGCGACTCGAGTCTGTGCTTCTCTACCGTCTTCCTCTGCTCCTCATTCATTCCTCTCGACCAGAATTTGAGGAATTCGAGGTTGAACTTTGGATTGGGCTCGTCGTCTAGAGAACAGCAGTGGCACGTTATCCTATTAATGAGATATATAACTACGGTAATTCGATTACGGTATCGCTAGACCCACAACTCTCAGTCGTAAAGGATCAGGGCAGATACTCATCATCAAAGGAACGCGAAGATAAATGAAGCTCGAGATGAGAAGCAAAGTTTTCCATCTAAATGGCTGGCTTCTTACACGTTACGGTCACCAGTGATGCTTGATCTGAATCTCGAATAACTGGTTTTTTAACTTCAGCGTTAATCCCCTCGAGCTGCATTGAATTGGAAAGACCTCGACAGCAGAGTTTTGGGGGATCTGTCTTAGAAAGAAGTAGTAGAAAGGAGCGTAACCGCTCACCGTTCTCGGAAGGAGGTCGAACAGTGGTACCTTGAAGGTGCATTCCACGACTGTGGGTTTTTAGGCTAATACAGAAATACTAATGGGATTGAACTAGAAATACAGAAGCATCAGAGCAGTTGGACTTCCTCATAAGGTCCCTCCTTGGGGCTCACTATACGAGCATAAGAGGTTCAAGACAAGCTAGGAGACAAGAGAGGCCACGATACGCTAATTAGCGCCTGAAAGGATCAGAAAACGATGGGCGAGAGAGCCGCACGACGCTGTTATCACAACGAGGGCGACGGACCTCTTGGACTGGCAAAGTCTGAAAAAAGTAAATCTCAATCCACGGTCCTAGCAGTAGCCGTAACCACTTTCAAGCGCGTGTGTTCGTATCTCTAGTGATAAATAGCGCAGTTCCTTCTGTTAAGTACTCCAGAGAGCAGCCTACTTATAGCGAGGTATTGTACACCTCGCTGATCGCAGATTGTGCCTTTTGGTCACTCCGAGCACTACAGTATCCTGATCCGCGTGTGTCATCCTAGACCTTACAAGATTGAATCAACCTTTTCTGCTTTCTACCGAGTGAGCCATGCATTCCAACACACGACGTTCAAAGTTTCTTCCAAAACAAACTATTTGATTTGCGAAAAGGTTCCGTCAGATCCATTTTCGAATGAGGATCATTTCTACCGGAATGACAAGATATCGGGCAAGAAGAGCTTTGTTTTCAGCCTGTTGTTGTTGTTGTTGTTTTATTTGGACTGGTCGGACCAAGCAGCTCGCGAAACACACCAAAAAGTAACATTGTCGAAAATAAAAAGTGAAAAAGTTGCTTAATTATAGAGCTATCGAAATTCATTCAAGCAGACGATTCCTCAAAGCTCCCGCCATCCGAAGGCATCGACGTTACCCACCACAACTTCTAGGCCCGGGAGACATAGTGCCAGCTGCGAACAGACCCGCAGTCTTACATTACGTGATACGTTGTCTCACCGGTCCAAGGGAAGTCAGGCTGTTGGCGAGCTTTCACCCAGACCCAACAAACCTGATCCCCCTTTGGTTCAATCTAACATCCAGTTCGGTCTAGAATAAACGCTATTCACTATGGCATCCCCGCTATCTGAAAACTTTATGTTGATTATACCGTAATCAAATACCACCATAATTCTAGCAGGAAATAGGATCCGATGCGCATTTTACAAGAAGATCAGCCAACGCCACTCTTATCTCTTTGTGGGTGAAGCTCACCTTTGGAAAAAAAAACCACGAGTATGAAAATGAATTCGAGGGAGCTTTCCAGCAAACCCCGAGAGAACCAGCATGCTACCATGAAGAGACATTAGTCCGCTACTCCATATATCCCAGCGCATGACAGATTGTTTGGTTTATGGCTTGCGATCGCTCATTAAAACGTCTCTTGCTATGTAAGTGAAAGCACATCGCAATAGAGTTGCAAGAAAGAGAAACTGGAAATGTAGCAGAAATGTCGTATTTGAATTCATTGGCTCACTAAGATCAAAAACTGAATAGCTAAATGAGCTATGGGTACTTGATCCCTGCTAGAAGTCGAACTCAGACCTCACGCTTGTTGGGCTAGCATCTGGGCTAGTGTAAATAAGGATGTAGGTACCGATGAATGCCTATACATTGAGCAACGTTCCGATGTTTCAGTGAGTATGACAACAGGATGTTAAAGTGCTGGACTAAGGAGATGTATTTCCAGGGCTATTAACCTTCCATACGAGGCAGGTACCAAATAGCGGACACCGGAGCTATGGACTCGTACACACTAATCAACAATATGCCCTAACAGAGGTGTTTGAAGACAAATTACTCACTCGTCTTAATGAATGATGGTCCTTGCCATGTGTGAGATGAATGGGTCCGCGACTATAGTATCGTGCCGCTTTTCGCCGCTTAAAAGCACATGGAAGCAAGGCCGGAGAGTAGTGATACCGGCTGTCGTCCCCCAAGCTGCCACACGGTCAGCACACGCCTGAGTATAGCCAAAAGCGCTACTTTCTGCGCCCTTTCACTCTTGATTGTTCTTTACCTATGACTGCGCGTTCACTGCGGAATTTTTCAAGTGGTGCACAGTGAGGATAGCGCGAGCGGAGTATGGAGGCATTACTCGCGGGCGTCATTTAGGCATCACAACCCTCCAGCCCCGTTTCTCTGCCCTTTTGAGCGGAGAAAGTGGCTTAGCTGCAAGGCGCTGCGTGGTTGTTTTTCCAACCACGAGCACAGTTATAGCCCCTAACCAAGGTGCACATGCCGACCCAGACGCCCATTGCAACCGCCCGCCCACAAATGGCCGCACAGTCACATCGACGCTGGTACTCTTATCGCTTCATTTATGAAGTACAATTGATATGAAGCGTTGCTGCATGATATATGAATACATACGTGCAGCCGTACCTATCGGAACGGTTATTGGCACGATGCCAGCGAGAAACTCGTGCAAAAATGCTCGTCCAATGCCAGCCGGGACAAAGGTTTTTGCAGGTTTTAGGCCTCTTAGCTTCGCTTTTTCGTCATTTTGCTACCACTAGTACCTCTTCTACTTTTAGCAAGTACTGAATTGTCCAGCCTCATGCCTTTAACGTGATGTTACATATGTTACACTCCTTGGACTTTTAACTAGTATCGTATCGGCCCCGCAGTTGCCATCCTCCCTCCTACTAGAAACACATTGTACCAAGTGCATATGCAGATGGTTGATATCACATTGTAGCCAGTGCCCCTTTTACAGCTGATTTCTTCCTTCTGGAACCCACAATGGCTACGTTTCGATTTTGGTTCCATCAACAACGCAGCGCTTTACTTTTTTTAGCAATTACGCCTCTCGCAGAAATAGCAGAAATAGATTTTTGTGCGAAGGATGATGAAATTTGAACATTTGGACGTTCGCCCGCTAAGGGGCGTGCAAAGCCTTTGTCTGTAGCGTAGAAAAAGTCTAGGTGTTTTCAGTGCATGCTTAATTGATGGCTGAAGTCAACGTTTTCCATTTGACTGATACTGTATGCCAAAAAGCTGACTTCCTATCAGACTTCCTATGATTGAGTTCTTATGAAATTGCCAGCTGACATTTGATTGCCACTCAAACGGTAACCCTTACTGAAGTGGAACGGTGCCTTTGTCACGCTGAATTCGGCACAATAATGAGGTAGTTTTTTGTTGTGGGCGAGAACGTGGGATTAAGGAAGTGGAAACATGTTTCTCCCGATATTCTATCCATTTGAATCGACTCAGTTCATGCTGCGGTTGAAATGTCGCAAATCGCTCATTCAACAGACTTGCTTCGAAGCTTCGCGGACAGAAGGATGATGGCGTTCTGAATGTTTTTTTCATGGCCGGCAGCAAGCGCTTTTGTTTTAGCTTTCTCAGCGCCAATGAACGACCATAATCTAGCATGATGACCATCGCTCGGATTGCATATCCTGACTTTGAGGTGCGGGGGCCTGCTTTCACTTTTCTCAGACCATCGGCGCTCACGATAGCGATCGTCATCTCTTAGTCTGCCGAGAATAAAGACCACCCACAAAAGGTTGTTGATGAGGGCTGTGGCTGATAGCGGCAACAGAAATGCCGGAACACGACATTCCGAGTTGAGAAACTCGTGTGCGACGCCATCGGCTGGTTGGCGGCGGCCCGGCGAACTGATCAGCGCCGTCGAGTGGCGGCGAGAACGAGCTGTACGTTATCGAGTTCATGCTCGCTGGAGAGAGCCTGCGATGAGCGCGTTCATCCAACAGTGTGTGACACGTGCCATAAAACCCGTTTTTGCAGATCGAATGACCAACATGGACTCGACAATCTACGAGAAGCCATACCACATGCTTCCAGTCCTCCATCGGACATACACTATTCAATGATATTTCACACTTTTATTACAACAGCTCCGAAATCCAATGATCTTGGGAATTTACTGGAAAATTATGGCTCCATCATCATAGTTACTCGATTAGAGCCAGTTAGCTTCGATACAGCCGGCTGAAATCAAACCCGTTCCGTTTTAGAAAGCATAAGGCTCGATAATTTGGTGCTCGCTCGATAATTGCAGCAAGGGTGCTATACAGGGGGGGCCAAAAAAAAGTCATTCCGGCCGAGTCACATATGAGCGAAGTTTTCGCAGCCCAGACAGAGGAAGTGGATATGAGTACCAGGGCGGAAGATACCCAAGATCTTCCTCTATAAGCAGGAGCCGGCTGCCGCCATTCACCTTCATGTACACCAAAATATGAAGTCATCTCCAGTCGCGGCCTGAGTGGAGAACGCCTTTGGAATTCACGTGGCCTCCAAACAGCTGCGGAACTTCTTGAATGGAATCACCCATGGATAGCTACCTGGAGACCAGTACTCTTGATCTGCAAGACCTCAAACATCGAGCAGCTCCGGCAACGTCGCTACGGTCCAGGACATCATCTTCACCCCATTCACCAAGGCGCGGGTTGATGGTGTGGACCGGCCGTACCTGGAATGGATGAACCGATATTTTCTTCGTGGGCCCCAGACTGAGGGTGTGCGCTGGTGGCTACATCGAGCAACTCGAGGAGAATATCCCATCTTCATGTCGTCGCCCGTACCTTCTTGGAAACTTTGTACTGCTACAGGATTGGGTGACAACACATTTAATCGAAGGGCGTTGGAAAAACTTTCGCCTACTTGGAATGGAAGAACGTTGAGTACCTGGAAAAGATGGAGTATTTAAGCGGGGGTCCTGAACTAAACCCCCTCAATTACTCGGTTCGGGCGGAGCTCAACAGGGTGGTCTACAGTGGCGGAGAAATCAACGATCTCGCTCAACTCCGGTACCCACTCACTTTCGCGCGGCCGAATCTCTCGATGGCGCTCCTCCAGAAGGCTGTGGCGGAGTATCATTATAGTATTTAATGTGCTCTTTAATATGGTAGTAAAAATGTCCGATAAAAATTTAATAAAGTGTAACTTATAGCGCCTTGAAAGTCATGGAGGCAAAATGACTTTTTTTTGCCCCCCCCCCCCTGTATAGTGGGGAAATGACGAAAAAGCGAGGTGAAGCGGCCAAAAACCTGCAAAGAACCTTTGTTGTGCGAGGCATTGGACGAGGTTCCCGTTGGCATCGTGCCAAAGACTGCTCCGATAGATACGGGTGCATGTATGAACAGGGTACATCGTTGTGCGAAACCCATCGGGGGGGGGTCTTACTTGGCCGTCGGGGAGGGGTCGTAAACGCGGGTCGTTGAGCACCAAACAGCATGAGTGCCATCGCTGAACTTGATGGAGCGGACAGAAAGCACGAGGTCCCGGAGAAGGAAGACCACAAAATATCACAAATTAATCAGCAATATCAATAGTTAGATGAACTCGTAGGAAGGTAGATGACTAAATAATACATCTCAGATAGATTTGTGCGTACCAACCTTCCCAAACCCTAAACAGACATTGCTTGCATGACTAAGAATCACCTAAAATCAGAAGTTACACCTTTCCACCATCTCTGCGTAGAAGCGTAATGCACGGCGCAGCAAGGATCAAATCGATTGATGATAACCACATTATGCTAGACTCAGTTCAATGGGAATAATTGTTTCGAAGGCATATTGAAATTCACGG